TTCAGGTCTCATTACCTGAAAGTGTGGGCTGGACACACACTTGGCGAGCTGTCTGAAGAGCGGCTCCTGAACTTTCACGAACTCTGACGGCTCGATGACGTCCAGGATCTCCTCCAGCTCGTTCAGGAACATCACCTCCTTCGGACTGTGAGTCTTTGGCCAGAACTTCAGCAGACCCATGATCACCTGCAGAGGTCAGAGGTCACGGGAGTCAAACTCCTGAGCTCCTCCTTCACACAGGGTTTTTCTACTCTAATATCTGCAGTCTGCTTCACAGGTGTGTCCCTGTTCACCATCTGTATGTTACTATGGAAACCATCAGCAGCATTAGAACATGTTGTCATGGAAACAGGAAGGACTCACCGGCTCCGTCAGGCTGCTGTCTTTCTCCAAGAACTGGACCACACAGTACGCCAGCTGCACACAGACAGACAGTCAGAGTGAATAAGTTGTCAGTCACTGACGAACAGACGGACACACAGACAGACAGACAGACAGACTCTAACCTGTGGGTGGTAGACGCTGAGAGACTTGACTTTGTGCAGCGGCAGCAGAACTCGGATCAGAAACATCTTGTGTTCTTCTTTCAGAGGGAGAGCGAAGCCGTTGATTATGCTGACGGACAGACAGACAGATGGACAGATGGAGGGAAAGATAGACAAACCGTTAGAGCATTGATTCATGATCAGTCCCTCCAGGATTTCACAGCAGCTTTTCTAAACTACAATCAGCTGACATCAGTTTATTCTTCAGTACAAGTGGATGTTTGTGCCCATTTTTTTTAAAAATTCCCTCAAGATGATCTTGAGATATCACATTAAAAAATGACACAGACAAGGTCACACTGACCTTTGACCACAAAAATCTGATCAGTTCATCATTAAGTCCAAGTAGACGTTTGTGCCACATCTGAAGCTGTTCTTGAGATATCGCATTCACAAGAATGAGATCTATACAAGGTTACAGCAACCATGACCTTTGACCCTTGACTAACAAAGACTTTGTTGAGTCCAAGTGGATGTTTGTGCTTAAATTTGAAGAAATTCTCTCGAGGCCTTCTTGAGATATCATGTTCACAAGGATGGGACGGACGAAAACTCGAAAACATAATGCCTCCAGCCACAGCTGTCACCGGTGCAGAGACACAAAAGCATGTTCTGAGAGGTCACAGTGACCTTTGACCATCAAATTCTTACCAGTTTATTCTTCAGTTTGTGCCAAATTTGAAGAAATTCACTCAAGGCATTCTTGAGATTGAGACAGACAAGATCACAGCAACCTTAACCTTTAACCTGTGACCACCAAAAACTAATCAGGTCATCCCTGAGTCCAAGTGGCCGTCTGTGCCAAATTAAAAGAAATTCCCCTTAAGGTGTTCTTGACATACTGTGTTCACAAGGATGGGACAGATGCACAGACAACCTGAATACTTCCGGCCACAGCTGTTGCGAGCGCGGATGCATAAAAATTGCGTTGCATGACGTCATGTTTATATATATATATTTTTGCAGAACAAGAGATAATTGCTAAAATAGTTGCAATGATGTCACAGACACAGAGCCAGCATTCACAGAGCATCTCCGTGAGCTGCTCTCCTCCCCATGCTCTCTCTGTGCACGAGCTAACACTCCACAATGTGATGTCATCGCAGCATCACATCACAGAAGCCTCGCAACGCCGGCCACCATCCAACACTGAGCTGTTAATCTCACACCGACACTGAAATATTTTGTTGGGTAACATTAGCCGTGAGATGCTAACAGTTAGCCTGTCACTGTGTGACTCTGAGCTCCTGCTGACGCAGCCTCATGATCACCAGAGAATCAGCACGCTGCATGTAGCTCTACGATGACATGAGATTGGACACGTTTTAAAGAGTTAAATTTGTGGAAAAAATTGGGGTGATCAGACAAAAGGTGAGGCCATGCAGAATTCACAGGGATTGGCTAAATCTGGGTTAACTGCTGCCATCACAACGTAGCAACTTCCTGCAGCGACAAATGTTAAACAGCTTCTGTTTTGAATCCATCGCAGTCATCATGATGGTAATACACACTGTGTGTGTGTGTGTGTGTGTGTGTGTGTGTGTGTGCACGTGTGTGTGTGTGCGCGTGTGTTACCTCCCCAGGATCTCCAGCAGCTCAGCGATGCCATTGTGATGTTCGGTCTCATAGATAAATCTGAAACACAGCAGCACCAGTCAGACACACAGACTGGGAACACTGGTTTATCCTCAGGTGTCTAAGTGTGTGTGGCTCTGACCTGTAGAAGATGTTGTTGATCTGGCGGCGGATGTAGGCGCGGAGGCCGAGGAACTTGCCGTAGATGCGGTGTAAGATGGTCTTCAGGAAGTCTCTCTCTCGGGGATCCTCACTGTCGAACAGCTCCAATAGCTTCAACACAAACACTGAGGTCAGAGCTCCGCCCCTAATCACAGGTCTATCTTTTTATTTTATTTATTTAGCCTTTATTTATCCAGGAAATGTCCCATTGAGATACAAGATCTCTTCTTCCAGGGAGTCCTGGCCAAGACAGCACACATAAGTTCCATACATAAAACAATAAAATATACATATACGATGAAAACAATAAAAAATCAACAGTAAAGGGCAATCTTAAGTGAACATTAATTAAAACAACTGCATGTTTCCTGAAGGACTGATTTTAAAATACCTTTAAACACATCTTACAGTAGGAAGGGACTGTAGGTTAATTTTATCTTGCAACTCATTCCATAATGAGGGGGCATAGAAAGAAAATGAGGTTTTACCAAGATCCGACTGCATCCGGGGAACATTTAAAAGCATCCCATTTGCTGCTCGTCTAGTGCTGTAGGTGTACAGTCAGAGCTCCGCCCCCCGATCACAGGTCTATCTACAGTCAGAGCTCCGCCCCCCGATCACAGGTCTATCTACAGTCAGAGCTCCGCCCCCCGATCACAGGTCTATCTACAGTCAGAGCTCCGCCCCCCGATCACAGGTCTATCTACAGTCAGAGCTCCGCCCCCGATCACAAGTCTATCTACAGTCAGAGCTCCGCCCCCAATCACAGGTCGGTCTACAGTCAGAGCTCCGCCCCCAATCACAGGTCGGTCTACAGTCAGAGCTCCGCCCCCAATCACAGGTCGGTCTACAGTCAGAGCTCCGCCCCCAAATCAGATGTCAGGTCTCACCGACATGACGAACTTCTGGTCGATGTATTTCTTGGCAATGTTCGGCTGGAAGTCTGGAGACTCCAGGAAGCGAAGGAAGAACTCGTAGACGAGCTGTTGACACAAACACAACGTCACGCCATGATCACATGACACTGAACTGAGCACTCAGACAGACAGTGTACCTGCAGGTGAGGCCAGGCAGCCTCCAGCGTTGGTTCGTCCTCCTCAGGATCAAACTCAGCTCCGGTCGGATTGGAGGACGGAGGAAGAGTCCGGAACAAGTTCACTGAAAACTGAACACACACACACACACACACACACACGCGCGCGCAAAAAGGTCAGAGAGTAACCAGCAGTAAACAAACGTGGCGACACCATTGGTGGTGGCTCTAAGGCGGAATTTATACTTCTGTGTTGAACTGACGCTGCAGCCTGACGTGCACCTCCCCATAGATGTAACTCCACAGTGTCACAGTGACGCAGACCTCCTGTCTGTCTCTGTAAGCTGAAACCATTTCCCTCAGTGGAAACAAAGCTTTGATTTACTTTAATTTCACAGATAAGAAACAATAAATCGTGAAGACAATAAAGCCTCCACACACTGTGTGTGATTTATCCTGGCTGAAATATGAGCAGAGGAAATCTCTGCTTGCTGCTAGGCTAATTTATACAATGTAAAATGCCATACGCTTGTGCTAATAACGTTAGCATGTTGTATTTGTGGGGAAAATGTGTCCAGATAAAGACAAGTGTTTGTGAATGCTGCGAGTTATAGTGAAGCTGATTTGTGTTTGAAACTGTCTCTATTGAGCCATGTTTAATGTGTGTTTAATGTGTTTAATGTTTGTTTAATGTGTGTTTAATGTTTGTTTAATGTGTGTTTAGAATCAACTAAACGTGACAGCACTTCACAGACACCCTGCTGCCCACTAGTGTTCTGAAGGTGTAACTGTTGTGCAGCTGTATATTTTCAAACAGAGAATAAAATCTCTGTCTTTACATTTTATTTTGATCACAGTCTGTTTTTATAAAACTGCTCCTGGCGTCTCAGATGTAGCTTTGCCCTGCAGCTGAAAACATGTAGAAAATAGAGATATATATCGTGTATCGTCAGTCAGCCTGTAAATACTGAGACATGAATTTTTGTTCATATCGCCCAGCCCTACAGATGGTGCATCGTAGAGACGTGAAATTTTCACCAATGATTGGAAATTGTGTGCAAATGACTCAAGAAATATAATGCCAACAGACCAGATGAGAGCTTTAACGCTTTAACTGAGGCCGAAGAAATTTTGTTTTAAAAGGCCACCACCCTCGCACCTTATTTCAGACAGACTTGAAATTCGACACACATGGTCAGGTGAACTGGTTCTACGAAAGCCTACAGAACCCTCAAGGTCTGCCCACTAGATTGTCGGCCATATTGAAATTTTTTGAAATACCCCTCTTGAGGCATTGGTCCCATTTGTACCAAACATTGTGTGGATCATCACGGGATGAAGCTCTTAAAAAGTTATCAACAGCTTTTAACTTTAGAGGGGGCGTGGCTCAGCATGTAAATGGAGTTTACTCCTGAACCGTTGAGCCGATCATCACAAAACTTTGTACGAAATGTTGACATAAGTATCTGAATCATCAATGAAGTTTAATTCAAATCCACCGATAGGGGGCGCTACACAAGCTAAAAGCTGCACTAAACTTAGGAGGACGGATCAGATCTCACAGTCTGTAGGAGGGTTTAGACACAAGCACACATTTAAGGTTTGTGTGTTTGTTCCCCATCAGATTAAATGAAGACAAAGTTGAGTTCGTCTTCATGTCCTCAGTGTGTGAGCCTGTGCATGTCCTCACCATGAGGACGGCCTCGGGGTAGATGCACTCGGTCACCACGTCACTGTTGTGTGTGATGTACTCCACCATCTCGTTGAGCCCCGCCCTCTTCACCTCTTTGTACTTGAGGTCACTGAGCGGGTCGCTGACAAAGTCAAACAGGACGCAGCACTGACGGAGCTTCTGCACAAACAGCTCCTCACGCTCCATCAGGGGCGAGTCTGAGGACACCACAGAGGAAGAACAGAGGACAAGAGACATTACAGAGGAAGAACAGAGGACAAGAGACACCACAGAGGAAGAACAGAAGACAAGAGACACCACAGAGGAAGAACAGAGGACAAGAGACATTACAGAGGAAGAACAGAAGGCAAGAGACACCACAGAGGAAGAACAGAGGACAAGAGACATTACAGAGGAAGAACAGAGGACAAGAGACACCACAGAGGAAGAACAGAGGACAAGAGACACCACAGAGGAAGAACAGAGGACAAGAGACACCACAGAGGAAGAACAGAGGACAAGAGACACCACAGAGGAAGAACAGAGGACAAGAGACACCACAGAGGAAGAACAGAGGACAAGAGACACCACAGAGGAAGAACAGAGGACAAGAGACACCACAGAGGAAGAACAGAGGACAAGAGACACCACAGAGGAAGAACAGAGGACAAGAGACACCACAGAGGAAGAACAGAGGACAAGAGACACCACAGAGGAAGAACAGAGGACAAGAGACACCACAGAGGAAGAACAGAGGACAAGAGACACCACAGAGGAAGAACAGAGGACAAGAGACACCACAGAGGAAGAACAGAGGACAAGAGACATTACAGAGGAAGAACAGAGGACAGGAGACACCACAGAGGAAGAACAGAGGACAGGAGACACCACAGAGGAAGAACAGAGGACAGGAGACACCACAGAGGAAGAACAGAGGACAGGAGACACCACAGAGGAAGAACAGAGGACAGGAGACACCACAGAGGAAGAACAGAGGACAGGAGACACCACAGAGGAAGAACAGAGGACAGGAGACACCACAGAGGAAGAACAGAGGACAGGAGACACCACAGAGGAAGAACAGAGGACAGGAGACACCACAGAGGAAGAACAGAGGACAGGAGACACCACAGAGGAAGAACAGAGGACAGGAGACACCACAGAGGAAGAACAGAGGACAGGAGACACCACAGAGGAAGAACAGAGGACAGGAGACACCACAGAGGAAGAACAGAGGACAGGAGACACCACAGAGGAAGAACAGAGGACAGGAGACACCACAGAGGAAGAACAGAGGACAGGAGACACCACAGAGGAAGAACAGAGGACAGGAGACACCACAGAGGAAGAACAGAGGACAGGAGACACCACAGAGGAAGAACAGAGGACAGGAGACACCACAGAGGAAGAACAGAGGACAGGAGACACCACAGAGGAAGAACAGAGGACAGGAGACACCACAGAGGAAGAACAGAGGACAGGAGACACCACAGAGGAAGAACAGAGGACAGGAGACACCACAGAGGAAGAACAGAGGACAGGAGACACCACAGAGGAAGAACAGAGGACAGGAGACACCACAGAGGAAGAACAGAGGACAGGAGACACCACAGAGGAAGAACAGAGGACAGGAGACAGTTTTATGAGACAGATAATGGTCTGAGTTCAGATGGAGGGACAGTCATGAGCTTAAAGCGACACTTAACTTTCTGGAAATTTTACACTTTTCTTTGTTTAGGTTAAAATGTTATTAATAAGCTGATGGCATATTGAAATGTAAGTGAATTCCAGCAGAGTTAAAAACTCATAATTATATCATTCTCATATGATTCTAAGAAAACTCGGCCAATCATTGCATTCGGTCTGAATGCAATGATTGGCCATCCTGGGTGTCTTCACCACGTGGAGGCCTCCAATTGACGTAACTGCTTGCATAACATCTCCTCCCACTACCACAGCACAGCATCCAGTTGCTAATGGCTAACATTAGCCTACTGTAGCGTAGCCTCGGAAACATTAACGTTATCTTCCTTGAGCGTTTCCACTTACTAGTAACGTTAACGCTACTAACGTCAGCACTGTAACCTTATTGTAAAACTCATCAGTCATCACTGACTGGTTGAGTTTCAAAACTCCGGGGTTGTGTTTGACTGTCTTGGTTGTACCGTTACACTCGCTCTCCTCTTCTGTTTATCTAACGTTACCATGCCAACGCCTACATCTATCATAGACGCAATGAGGACGTAATGGAGGAGGGGGGAGTAGGCCTCTGGAGGGAGGTGGAGTTGTGGATGTTCAATTTTTTTCTAAGTGCTGTGTGAAATGCAAGAAAGGTAAGAGTTGCTTTAAGTGATCCCTGTTAATGGAGTCAATTACGTAAGGGATAATGTATAGTGAGCCCCCTTCAGGGGTGCTGACACCGCACGACGCTGCATCGTGCTGTAACCACGCTGATATTGTGCATTGTGAAACCGGCATTAGGGTTAGTTTTGGTTAGTGTTATTTTAGGTTAC